TGAGCATTCCAAATTAACATTGGATTTTGCAAGCCAATCCTTTAGGACCTGCATCTAATTTAGAAATAAATCCATTTAACTACAGACTGTGGAACTGAATCAGACCTGCTTATATCCTGGTTCTGACACTCACCCTAATTCCAGTCCTGGCCCTGAAATGAATATGCAGGTTCCATTCCCAAAACTTCAACATCCAGAGAAATAACCATCACTGACCCCACTGGCACTGTGCAATTAAAAATATCATTTTATTTTTCATTTGTCTTGTGCACTGCTAGAGGTCGGTTACAAATACCTCAATTTGTAAAAAGGTTTTAAAATATCTTTGCTACGTTAAACTTGTCTTCTTTAATACATGACAGCCATTATCTTTTCATGTTGAAATGCCAGAGTTGGCTTACAAAAATAATGATGAAAACTGGCAGTGTGACATCTCTTCAAAAACTGCAAATAATATGCTAGAATTGGTTGCTCTCTCCTTCTCATGCCTCAACGTGAACTTTAGCCTCCAAATTATAAGTGAGATCATTTTGACTGAACAGCCAAAATAAGTAGGAGAAAATTGCTGTGGAAGGGTGCAGACCAAGCTATCAATAGACAGATGCCACTAATTGATAACGTAAATCCACATTTTCTCATGTAGGCTGCTGTTGGCATGCAATGCTGGAAACATATTCAACAGTAACTTACATAAGGGAATTATAGACATATACATGTAAAGAAATATTGTGCAGGGCTGTCATGAAAAACATTGAGTTGTTTTACAAAGTGAAGGAATACAAAACCTATATTGGCTCAGAGCATTGTTCTTTGCAATGAACTAGGTCTATAAGCCACAGTTTTGATATGCTCACACCAAGGTATGTAAAACAGAACTGCCTCTAACTGTGAATTGGACCACGTAGCAGTGATCTCCAACAGACAGAATATTCCTGTCCTTTACCATTCGTTGCAATAGAAAGGACCTGGCAATAAGGTAGAAATAAATCATAATTTGAAGAAAGCTAAACCCCGCATTTGGATTGAAAAGCATATGAAAACACAGAACCTAAATCTGAATTCAGATTTAGCTGCTTATTTGGAAACCTATTTCAGAGATAGGGAGCAGCCCGGTGCTGGCTTTCTGTGTTGTTCCAGACTACAGGAGAGTTAAAAAGCTTTGACAAGTTTATTTTGATTCAGTGGCACAAAGAAAGGCAACTTAATCTGCAACAATCTTTCAAAAATTTGGCAGCTTTGTGTTAGTTTTCATGTAACCTGAATTATCACAGAGAAAAAGCAGTAAGATCTTAACTCTCAAAAGTGTTTGTACATTCATTTAAATGGTTTGTTATTCCACATAATGTATGTCGCTGTAAAAGAAAACAGCTACTCTGACGACTGTAATTTTCTATTGAAAAGTCTCACTGCAGCCTCTTTGAACTTAAAACACATATGACTTCAAAGGCAATGTAGGAAATTAAATGAAGAAAGATGGAAACTTGTCATCTGAAAACATGACACACTGAACAACTGCTTTCTCTCCTATGCTATTTTTAAAAAAGTATATATGCAGTTTTGTATGTGAAAATATTACCAGCCTTTCTGCTTTTTTAATTAATATATGTATACATACCATTAGTTTCTATTTATATTCAGTTATCAAAATATAACTTGATAAGTAGCATAGTGAGGAAAGCTTGGATAAATGCTTAAGGTCCAATTTTTCAAAAGAAATGGTGTCACTGTTTAACTTCCAGCACGTTGTGGCTGAAATTCATGTTTGGAGAGCAAATTAACTTTTTTCAGTACTAGGATACCAAGTACAATATGATTGGACTGACTAAATTAAAATTAAACTTTTTTAAAAAAATAAACAAAATGACTACTTGGATCAATTGGCAGCATTTTCACCTCTGAAGTCAAAAAGGTGCAATTCAATTCCTACTCTGGGAATACTGAAGTACTGCTGCATTCAACAGAGGTGTCGTTCTTTTGATGACACAACTAAAGACCCAAGACCCATTGACCTGTTCTAAGTGAGTGTCAAATTTCAGAATGCAGTATCTGACGGATGGCAGGGAATTCAGGTAATAATTTTACCAGGTCATCTGTTTGTTTTTGCAGTTTTGGGGCAGTTACTGCACTTTAAGGTGATGTATGTGAAATCCTTTCGGTTATTTCTATGAGACATGATAAGGCGGTAAGTCATTCTTCCTGTTAGGCATGTGCACAATATTGATTCTTCGTTGGTTTTCTCTCCTGAACTGATAAGTGGTTCAATGTATTTGTGTCCCACAAAATGCAGACTGCATCAACATGTCATTTAATCTCAGGGACAAATCACAAATGTCTATCTGTGTCTAAAATCCAGACATACAATTCCCAGCAGCGGTCTCTAGTCCAGAATCCTAAATCACTTTGACTTGACTAACTAAGAAGTATGGAGGCCAATATAGAGGTGTGACTCAATCATCATACTGTTTATATGGTAGACTGATCATTCAAACCTGAAAGCTTTCTTGTGTGTACATCAGTTTCTAATAGATAAATTCAAAAATCAACCAGCAACACAGACACGACTTACATTTATCTCCAATTTATTTATTCAAACACATTGCATATCTCGGTCTTCCTCTCTTTCTCTCTTTTCCCAAAGGTGCTAACTGTTACTGAGATGTAATATATGGGTACAATCACCCATTGGTACATCATCCATCTGTGTTTCTCCCAGTATCAGCCAAGAAAGTGATCACCAGTAGATTATCCATCTAAAATGACATTACATCCAAGTCAGATCCTGTGTCACTCAACATCCTCAAATGATTAGCGCTGCAGGCAACTATTCTTAATTTTCTTCCTCCCTAGGTCAAAGGAAATCAAAGAAAATTGCAGACTGCACGACAATCCTAGGTGCCAACTCAACACTCACAGGGAACGCACTTAAAATTCTGAAAGAATTGAACTCATATAAAAAAATGGAGCTTATTTAGTATTACGAAGTAGGTCCTGATTAGTTCAACCATATAATACTGGCAACTTCATCATTCATCGAGCGGGCAGTTTGGCATACAAATGTTTAAATGGAAATTACAATAATTACCTGTGTGGCATACTTCATTTGAATGTTAATTCTTTGTATTAGACAAAAATGCATGCAATTTAAACTGGTCACATTACAGAGGACTTATGTCAAAGCTGAATCCAGACAAACAGCCAGCAGCATGACACTGGAAATTCCCCATTTCGATTTTTTAGGCTGCACCTAGATATTTAAATCATGTGCTGTATGCCAGAGATTCCATCTGCAAATGAGCTCCTGCTCCTTACAAATGGCAAAATTGTTCAGTAAATTGCAAGAAATCCTCATTTCTGCATTGTATCACTTCATATAATCCTTTTATGATGTAGTGTTAAGTGGGAGAGTAAACACGCTACTTACATTATGACTTTTGAAAAATACTTTTTTTTAAAAAACTTGAACTAACATTAAATAACAGATAATAATACCAACTTATAAGGCCTTAGAAGTTTTTCCACTGTATGTTTTATCTTGGGTACAATAACAATAACAACATGATATGACACTTCTAATGACAAGGACTTGGAATCTCCTGGGACATGTTCCTGCTCCACTGCCATAACTGAACCCGAAATTGGTGCAAACTCCTATCACATAGAAAGTCCTTTATGGTCAATATTAAACCTGGATATGGTAACTCCTAAATGAGAGTATTTGCTATAACATGCCAAACTGCAAACTAATCACACCCAAGTGAGTGAGGATGTAAGATGTACTTTGTGAACAGGACACAGGCAGCCTGGCATATAACTCTTGTAAAAGTGGTTAAAAAACTGTTGAGAGGTATGTAATAGCATCTTTGGATAGGAAAAAAAGGAGGGTTCTGCCCCTACCAACTCTATTATTAATTTAGTCCCCTCCCTCTCTCCCTGCATTTCTTCACTTTTGTTGTCATTGCACTGCCATAATGGGAGTGGAGATAAAGAAAATTTTAAAAATGTAATGAGTAATTTGGTAGTGGTATAAAAACACAGGCAGAACTGTGTAAAAGCATCCCCAGATAGAGGAAAAAAAGAGAAGGGATGGATCCTGGGAGGTGGGGCGGCTCTTGTGGTGCACTTTTAGTGTATCTATCAATGGACAAGGAGGCCAGGATTCAAGGCCTACCAGCTCCAAAGCTATGTCAGAACATATTGGAACTAGCCGAGTAAGGAGTTCAGGTCTTCCCCGTTCAAGTCCATTTTAATTTATTCCCCTCCCTCACTTCCTACCTTCCCCTATTTTCATTATTGGCAATCATTTTTTACATTGTTAATTGATTAACCGGTGACACGGGTGATTTGGTGGATGTTTATTAAAAAAGACGAGTGGGGTTCTCACCTGGACTATGGCGAGATGTGTGGCAGAACCAGACAATGAGTGTAGTGAGGCCTATCTCAACGTCGAGATCAGCTTCCTCTGTTTTTTATCCTTTTCACAAAACATTCTCGATATTCTAGTACCTAGGGAGCAGTGACATTCCAACTGATGGGCATGAAGACTTGTTAAATGTCCTTGCTCAAAAACGAACTGGCTTCCAGCACTGCCAGTGGGCAGAGTCTGTGCATCTGTTAAATGGTTAAACTAATGAACTGGTGAATTTGTCTTTAAAATAAATCCAAACAGCAGCGTTATTGGGAACTGGCTTCGACATAGGGAATGTGTGCAAAAAGGAAAGATTGAAACTGGCATTTATGCTCGACTATAGTTTTATAATAGAAGCCTCGTAAATCTCTGGAAGTCTTTCCTGGCCTAATTCAACACATAGATACCAGTCTTCAGGTGAGAATGGTAGGAAAATAAAATAACCTTTCCACTTTGCGACACAACATTGCCTTTATGAGGTTGACCAAAAGTGAAAGTGTCACCTATGCTTTCTCGGGATGAAGAGGACAAGCTCTTCAAAGAATGAATGGACATGCTCTTAAGAAGAATAATGGAAATAAACAGAGCAACTTACGGTTGGCAGAGCTTGATGAGATCCTGGTCGGTGGTGCCTGGTGGCAGACCCCTGATGTACAGATTGGTCTTACTCAGCTGCTCACCACCGCTGTTGTTGCTGCTGTTGTTGCTGCTGTTTGTGCTCGGACTGGGAGGAGCCATAGGGTGAGGAGCTGGTGCATAGGATTGCTGAAGTGGATGACAAAAATACAAAATACATGAGAAATACTCGTACTAATCTTTGCAAGAATATCTATCTTACTTCTCATTTAACCCCTTGTTGCAAGCCCTGGTTAACTCTCTTTGGAACACATACTTCAAATCTTATGCTTTATATCTTTTTAAAAAGTGAACTCCTACTGGCAGATGCACCTAACGGAACTTGCACTCTAGGAGGAGATTTTAAAGAGTATTCTATTAAATATTTAGCTGTCACAAAATGTATAGCTTGTTTCATTCAGGTGTAGCTGAAGAAATGTACTTGCATATTCAAGCTTGTTTTTTGATTTAGAATATCTGCTTTTCCACAAGAAAATACTTGTATTCTGCATAGCATCAGCATCACTTCCCAGGTCCAGTGCAGACTGGATAAATGCACAATTAAGTTCTGTCTACTCTTCAGTTACAATGCCAGAACCCCAAGAGATTAGTGATAGTTCCAATTTGCAGCATATTTCCCTTCGCATAGCGTCTCTGATTAAAGTTGGCAATTTAATATCAATTAGTGCTGAAAGATGGGATTATCCTGCTGTCCATGTGGGCATTTTAGCATAGAGTCAAAATAACTCAAGCTTGTCTGACAGGACACTTGTGTCTCACCATTAAGCTTGGAAATCAGATCCCCAATTTAACTGCTGGATACGAGATCACAATAATGCCTGGTTTCCAAAAAAAAAATGGATTTATATTAAAATATGACTGCTTGAAGTTTACTTCACTCAACTTAACAGAAAGGCAGATATTTCAAAATTGTGTCCTTTCAATGTCTTTCTTTTCCTCCATTGTTCTTCCACTTGACAATTCACATCATTAAACTGGAATTTGTATTAAGTGTAGTATAATACATTACAGAAGGTAAATAAAGAAGTGCATAGTAGTCTCCTATCTATTAATGTGATAAAATCAGACTGCTATATCTGTATCAGCATTTTTGTGGCACAAAAGTACAAATCAATGTGCAAACCTTACAGAAAAACACTTAAAGAATTGTAATTCAACTTCCAATAATCAAGTATCACATTTATTGATCTACACTGCCACCCCACAAACAGATAAAAGTAATACCACTTTAAATTGCACAGCATAGCTTGTTTCAAAACAGGCCCCAAGGCTCAGTTTCAATCAGCATTCAGCAGTCTTAAGTCTGGAGGTACATCGACAGTGTCTTGATTAGAATGAAATAAGACTTGAAAATATTCAAGCTCTTCTCATATCGAAAAGTAACAGAGACAACTGAAGACAAATTTGACTCAATTGTGACCAAAGAATGCAAACTTAGGCCCATTGTAAAACTGTTCTGTGCTTTGTGCCTTAGACATAAATTCAGCTGTCATCAGAACAAGCAATGAGATAGCTCCCATGGTCTTGCATCTAGTAGCTTTCGCATAAGCAGGTGGGATTTTCCATCACCGTGAGTCTAACTTTGAACAAAATGAAATATTGGCCCTTTAAGTAGCTAGAGGGAAAGAAGAACCTAATTCACCCATTTTGCAGCTGTGTCACATTCGTCAAACAACATACTATCTATCAAGAAACCACGCCAACACTGAAAGCTGGAATTGCCGGTACTTTGATTACGATCCAACATATTCAAAATCTCTGCCTCTGGAAGGTTGGCTGAAGAATATTTGCTTTCATTGGAGCTTCCAACCAGTAATTAACTTACATTCTTGAAATTCATCACTTCACAGGTAATTTTTGATATGAATCATTTCTTTAGATGAGAAAATATTACAAAATTGTCAATAGCAGGTCTTAAATTGACATCAACAACAAAGTCAGAGCCACAAAGATTTTTCAACCAAGATAGCAATATCTTTACCTTTTTTAAAGCTGCTTTGTAATTATGTTTGCCACATTATCAGACAGGCAATGACAGGTACATTAAATTAAACATCATGGGCCAAATTCTCCTTTGCTATAATTGGATCATAAATTGGGTGGTACATTCGTGGAAGTTAGGGCTGGGAGGCCTACTGTGATATCTTCTGCCTGGCCTACATTTTATGCTTTCTAGTGTCGTAGAGAAGGACATCCCTTTACATTCCTACTGTGCATAATTGATCGTATCAAGTCAGCAACTTGTCGCATTGCTTGCCTTCTACCACTACTGCTATTCACCACAGGGGTTTTCAAAAAGGTGATGGCCACTGTTCCTGTCATAGAAGGGAGATGACTGACAATGGCTCTCTTGGACCCAACACTTTTCTCTCTCCAAGGCTGTGAAAGCAAACTCCAACTCTATCCTTATGCTGCCATTTTCTGCCGGGAGAGCCAGCTGCAGAGCTGTGTCACCTCTTATCAGGAAGGTTTGCCCAGTTAACTGCCATTCCGGCAGATTATTGGCCAGCAGTGGGCATTCACTGGGACCTGACAAGGTTGGAACCCATGTGCCAAGAGCTGCTGGTCAAGCAACGTGTCTATAGCAAGCAGCAAAACCACGGCACTGAACAAATACACAAGGTCTTTATGAGGAGAGGCCCAGGCAGGAGAGGGCATTGTAGGATGAGGGCAAAGGGAGCTGGCAACATTGACAGAAGTGTGACTTTTAGTATTCACCCTGCTGCCCTTGTTACCTTCCCAATGCCATTTCCTTCCATTAGGAACAGAGTGCATTTCAATGAGAGACTCCAACTCTCAAGATCCCACGGGTGTTTTTTCCAAACAATGCTGCCTGCCTGGCAAGCACCAGTTCCATTGGGTTAATACCACCAATGGAGGAATGAGCCCTTTACGCGGTCATTAATTTACAAATTAAGGGCCTCAAATGCTGGGAAAACCATCGATGGATCTCCCACTCCACATTAAATCGAGGTGAAAGTAGGAAATTGGTGTCATGCCTCGACCAACCTCCTGTCAAGCTCAATGCCCTCCTATCACCAAACTCACTGTGGCAGCGGGCATTAATTAGCCTCTGGGTCAAGTTTCTTCTTCTTCAAGACAGGAAATTTCACAATGTTGAAACAACATTAGTAAGCATAAGAGCTCATGACCAGGAAAGCTACACAGTACAGAAACAGTCCATTCAACTTAGCTGTGTAGTCATTTTTAATCAGCCTGTTTAGGCATGTTATAACACACCTTTGGAGGTGGTGGGACTTGAACCAGGATCTCCTCGTCCTGCAGTAGGGACATTAATACAATGCCAAAAGTTCTCATAACCCAACTGGTGTATACTTGTGTTTATATTTTGAATGAGCTGCCTTCTACTATGGTCATGTGACAGGATCACAAAATTGTTAAACTGCAGAAGGAGACTATTCATCCTATCGTATCTGCAGCAGCTCTTTGAATGAGCGTCATAACTTAATGCCACTCTCCCACCTTTTTCCCATACCCCTGCAAATTGGATAATTATTCAGATAGAAACAATGATTTGTTACATGGCTCCATATCACCTACCTCCACCCACTCTTCCATGCAGGGCACTCCAGACCCTAACTACTCTCTGTGTGGAAGGTTTCTTCTCACGCTGCATTTGGTTCTTTTGCAAATCACTTTAAATGTGCTTTCTAATTCTCGATCCTTTTACATGGTTTCTCTCTACCTGCTCTGTGCCGACCCTTCACGATTTAAATGGAACTGGAATCAGTAGGCTCTTTTATGAGGAAAAGTTGAATAGGCAAGGCTTGTATTCACTGGAGTTTAAAAGAGTAACAGGTGATTTTACTCAAATATAAGATCCAGAGTGGTCTTGATAAAGGGGGTGTGGAGAGGATGCTTCCTCTTATGGGAGAATCTAGAACTAGGGGTCACAGTTCATAAATAAGAATCCATTTAAGAAAGAAACAAGGTGGATTTCTTTTTCACAAGAGGATCATGAGTCTCTGGAATGACGTTCATCAAAAGACAGTGGAAGCAAAGACCTTGAATATTTTTAATGCAGAAATCGATAGCTTCTCAATAAGCAAAGAGGTGAAAAGTCATTGGGGTAAGCAGAAGCATGGAATAATCAGATCAGGCACGAACTTATTGGATGGCTGAGCAGTTCAAGAGATGGACTGGCCTTCTCCTATTCTTATTTTTTTTTCTAAATTCATGTCATATTCTACTACCATTTTGCCCCTCAAGTGTCTATCTAGATCTCCTTAAATATATCAATGCCCATCAATTGTCTGTTGGAGTTCTTGGTCACTGCCTTACTTTATGGCCCTGGCTGTGGTCACCCCACAGCTCTCTACATTGACTGTGTCAAACACCTCCATAATTTTAAAGACTTCTATTAGATCACCAATCTGACTTCTCTTCTACTGCAAAACCCTCACAAGCTATTACATCTTCTTCCAAAAATGTATTCCCTCAGTTTTGCTAAAATTTTCAATTGTTTCGCACATTGCACAATGCTGCTATTCCTATTTCTACTGTGGAGATGATAACTGTCCATGGTACACCACAAATACTCTAACCCTAATTCTCTACAGGTTCAGTATAATTTCCCTGTTTTTCAAGTCTATCCCTCTGCACATGGAGGTGGGGAGGGAGGGAGGGAGTGAATTCCTAGATTCCTTTGCTCCCCTATTCTATTTGGACTTATTTGTCATACACTGTGTGATTGGTTATTCTTCCTATAAAAATATACATTTCACGTTTAAGTACATCGAAGTTCATATTTACAATCACACACTGATTCCACAAATTTATTAATGTCATCTTGTATATTCTCGTTGTCTTCCTCAGTAATAACTATGCCACCATCCCAACACCAACACCTCACCTCCAAACCCCATTTGACATTGAGTACAATTTCCACATGCATCTACACATTCACAAATCAAAACTAAGCTGAGTGCACAACAGAACCATGGTGTCAGACAAAAATCCAATGAAATAACCCTCAACACTTGGAAACACATATTTACATGCAGCATCATGGATGACTACGCCAAACACAACTTCTAATACTCTAACACAACAATATTATTTTTAAGTTTAATATCCTTTATAAGTAACAATATTCAGTATACCCAATA